TGTTCGCAACCCAAAGCAAATGTTCCCATAAGGTTCAATGTAATTACCGTTAATCCATTCCGGCGTCCACGGACCACGCGTCAAGGGCGGAAAAACAGCCACGGACCACGCAGCAGGGCGGAAAAACGGCCGCAGACCATGCGGCAGGGTGGAAAAACGGCCGCGGACAACGTGGCACGGGCAGAAAATGGCCGCGGACCACGTGGTACGGGCGGAAAATGGCCATGGACCACGTGGCACGGGCGGAAAATGGCCGCGGACCACGTGGCACGGCGGAAAATGGCCGCGGACCATGTGTCATGGCGGAAAATGGCCGCAGATCCGGTTCGTACCCCGAGGCAGTGTTCACAAACCGAGGTAAATTTTTGCGGCTGGAGCTGGTCGCAACCCGAAAAGTTTGTAAGCAGAGGCATTCGTAACCCGAGGTACCACTGTATTTACTTCTCAATAAACACCTCTCAAAAAAGGCTGTTACAGATTTTCATCCTATGCTAAGCCTGTGTGTATGCAAAATAGAGCATTTCTACAATTAAATGTTCAAGTCCTCCAAAGACTCCTCTTTCAAGGTAACCAGATCCTGGGAAAAGCACTGAATTGGGATAACGGCAAAGAACAGAACAACGCAAGTTCATTCTGCAGAAACACTTGTAAAATGCCAAGTTTTCGTCAAGCTGATCTCGATTCTTAGTGAGCTACTTGGACATGTCCATGTAGTTTCCTTGGTAACAGTGCAGAAAGGGCTTGCCATTGCCTTCTTGCAGAATGTTTTTTTTTCTTCTCAGCATCTTCTTCTTTTCTTCTCTACTGTACAGCCCTGGATTATTATTTTTTTTTTTTCTGTCTCCATCCAAGTACTAATCAGGCCCTACCCTGCTTATTGTCTGAGCTCAGGAGAAACTGGCACACCCCATCCAGCAAAAGTCACGGCCAGTCAAGGGCTTAACCATTTTGGGGTACACTACTCAAACATGCCCACTTACTTAGCTTCTCAATATTGCGCATCACTTTGTCACCTTTCTTCATGTACGATGCACGGAAGCCATCCACAGAGAAAATGATCAGCGGAGGGTGAAGGAAACTGAAAAACAAAGATACCTTAGTAAGCCAGTGGTGCTGGCTACAGCGAGAAGAAGCGAAAGAGAACCACTGCAGTCCAATCTAGCTGAATAAACACTCGGAAAGCACATATTTCATAGTTTAGAGCAGATTTTTCTAATCTCACCCTGGATGTGTTGTACTGTATAACCTCCAGCTATTGCTTTCTGTGGCTATTTTTGTTGTTGATATTGTTTGAATCTACCTATTATTTTTGTTTAATGTCGTATGCTGCCCAGACAGTGGGGTAGGTTATAGGTACTGTAAAATAAAGAAAATAAATGAAACACTCAGGCAGGCTAACTTGAAAATTACAGTTCTGATCTTAGACTAGATTAGAGCTTATTGGAACCAGATTAGAAAAGGCTGTTTTTGAACAATGATCATGAAAATATAATGCATAAACTTATTGAAATTATATATATGTGTGTGTGTGTGTGTATGTGTGTTCTGATCTTAGACTAGATTAGAGCTTATTGGAACCAGATTAGAAAAGGCTGTTTTTGAACAATGATCATGAAAATATAATGCATAAACTTATTGAAATTATATATATGTGTGTGTGTGTGTACACATACATGCACACACATACACACACACACATACACACTTGATAAACATCTTTTCAAAGGTCAATACTTTTTCAAAGAGATGTTGTAAAGCACTGACTATAACATTTTCATTTGAACCTGCATTTATCCTGATGCTTCATTATTTAATCCAGGGAACTACTATTACATCTGCAGTACCATAAATCACAAACATGAATGTTTTATGCTGCATTAAAAAAAAAGAGTTCAAAATATTTTGTAAAAAATGCATCCAAGAACGTGGCAACAATTATAATCAGTAACCATATAATTGTTTCCATTTCTTGATCCTTCTGTCTAAATAATTCCCAGTTAGTTCTGCCTTAATGTGTATTCTTTTTAATAATGTGGAGGGCAGAATAAGGATTTAAAGTGGAACAACAGCAATCTTAATGTATGGCATTTTAATGATTCTGCTTTCAAATTGTGTTGAAGAATATGATCCAAACAGAGGCAATATTTTCTTAAGGTGCATACAGAAGAAAATTTCCATTGCGCAATTGTGTTGGACTGTTCACAGAATTTATGGGGAGTCCAAAGATGCTCTTCATTTGTATCATACCTGGGCTTGCTATCCATTTCCTTCCTTCCATCTTATTTTCTTACAGACACATATGTGGGTGCACAACTTAAGGAGGGAAAGACACAGCAGCTCTGCCTTTTGAGAATAGCAATAGGAGCTATCCATCTGAAAACATCTTAGCTTTATTTCATTTTTACATCCCATCCATCTACTGAACCATTTTAGGCACCCACCAATCCTACAAGAGCCCTTTCAACCTTGTTTGGAGAATTTAGAATCAAACCATTACAATGATCAGTGAGCTGCAAATAAAACAACACCTTTAACTAGATCAGGGTTGCAAAATGTTATATTTGGTCCTGGACACGTGTGTTCTCTGGTCTTTTGGTCAGCACGTCTCACTCCTTTCCTAGACGGTAACTTTACAGTCCTACGTACATGCTTACATAGAAATAAACCTCACTGAACACAGTGGGATGTGCTTCCAAGAAAACACATATATGAATACATTTCAATAACTACCCCATTCGAGTAGGATCTTCTCCTGATGAACAAAAAGTCTGGCTTTTCCTCTATTAGTCCCTCCTTTCCCTGCAAAAGAAATCTAATTCAAAGGGTTGGGAAATTATCTGGAGCAGCCTCAGGATACAGAGAGGGAGGGAAATTGTGCAAACAGAAGTTTGTAAGTACGTAGTTCAGTGTAACCCTATGCATGGGTGAAGGAACCTAAGCCTTCAAAATATTGCTGGAGACCAGCTCCCATCATCTCTTGTCATCACAGCCCATGGTCAGAGATGACAGAGGTTGGAGTCCATCAACATCTGGTGGATCAAGCTTCCCTATCTCTGCCCTATAATTCAAGATAAAAAAGTATGCTTTAGCCATTTTATATTTAGATACACTACAGAAATGTTAAAGCTACAATTTAAATGAACACTTAAGGGAAATAACTGTACCCCAATGTTCTTCTGGTTTCCTGTCCTCCCCTGCATAAGTACTATTGCTGAGATTTTTTCTTTTCCCATTAAAACTCCAGGGTTGTTTATCAAATTGTGATGACATTTATTTATTTATTTATGCATGCATACATGCAATTTTTGCTGGAAGATGGGCTTGAACAGCATCTCCTCTTTCCTTTCTGCAATTATATTATTTCGTTGGATGTCAATTTTTGGAAGGACTTGAATACATTTAGCTTCACCTTAAAATGCTGATTTTGGGATAGATCAAGCAATTCCAGTACTAAAGAAATCACACAACTAGTCTAGTTTGGCAACCAGGAAAAGCCAAAGCCGGTTTCTTATTTCAAGTAAGTAAACAAAAAGGAGAACTTACCCTGCTGGGCATTCTGGAGTTCGAATATCTTCACAATCATCCATGACCCAGTGAGTGTCTCCTAAAGGAAAACAACACATACAAAGTGGAATTGGGTTAGGCTTTAACCACATTACATCCTATGCATTATGATTGCCTAGATTTATTCTCAAGTAAACTGACATTGGATTGCAACAGCAGTACTCCTCTGTTCTCCCTATATTGATTCAGGTGCCAATGTGGCATCTGGGGGTGACCATGTGCCTACCAGCAAATTCTCTGATGCCTACCAAGCTCCCTCCCTCCCTGATTTTTAATGTTTCTTTTCATCTTTAAAAAAAGAATTGGAAACAAGCATGCCAAAAAGCAAAGCGCCAGCTTCAAACATAGCTGGCATTTCTAGCAATGCCTCTGGATTCCAAAAAGATGGAAGCTGCAGTCCAATGGTTATTTTGCTTTCTGGTAGAAGGGTGTCTTCTGACTGGCCATAGCTGCCATGACCGCTGTCTTTTGAGAGTGCCCATAATAATGATCTCAACATTCCAAATGTACCCATTGGCCCAAAAGGATTGGAGACCACTGTGTGCAGATATGTCTAGAGGGAAGACACATTGTATTTGCTAAGGTAAGAGTGCTCTATTGGCTTGTGAGTTACTCAGATCCCATTAATTGCAATTTAGCGTATCTGCAAGTCAGGTGACCCTGATCTATTCAACAAATCATGATTTAATAAAATCTGGATTTAGTGAGATATATGAGCTGAGCTTTTGTCTGATATATGCTCACTCTGATTTTACTTTTGATGCCTAGCTTCAACATCAAGTAATGTAGCTGGGATGTTTAAAAATTAGATAACTTGTTAACAAGGTCTCCAGGTATATGTGTATCACACACTACACACTATTAATGCCACTCTGAAGCAAATTCTGGGAGCCGAATAGCTGTCCTCATGTCCACCCCATCCTTGCCTTTCATGTCACAGCTTCCAATGTCTTGCCTGAAGAGAACTGTGTTGCAAGATGCAAACTTGGACTTGATGACGTCAATTACGGAAAATAAAATCCTCAGCTCTCTCCACTTAATAGCAAGCACAAATGCAAAACAAACTCCCAAAGTTAATATTACCAGTGGAAACAACTTTTGAAGGGGTAGCTATGTTTGTTGGTTGCAGCAAGGACAGAGAAAGCCTTGTAGCGATTACAGACTGACAGATTTGTTATGACATAAGCTGTTATGGACTAGCTTTTATGGAGCCACAGCCTTCTTTGTTTTTAGCAACAGAAGTCCACCTTTGTATGATAGGGGACACAGAACAGAAACTGGAATTAGTTGGGTTAGGAAAAAGGCACCTTTCTGGACTCAAGTAAGAGAGGGAAATAGATGCATTCACAACACTTCTTAAAAGAGATGAAGTTCAAAAGATATTCAGTAGTAGAACATCAACAGTTTCAAAATAAAACAGCTTGGTTTACAGAACAAGCAACTAAAATGGTCAGACTATGTTTAAAGTGTAATGTTTGAAAGTCCTTTCATGTGGTCCTTGAATAGAAGAAATAAGTGAAGAGAAATTAAAAATTCTCCTCTGAAATAAGGATGTATGTAAAATAATGTATTATTTTAATGAAGAGCCAGTTTGGTCAATTGGTTAAGGTGCTGGACTAGGACAAGGGGGAACTAAGTTCTAGTCCTGACTTAGACATGGAAACCAGTTGGGTGACTCTGAGTCAGTCATTTTCTCTCAGTCCTAGGAAAAAAGCAATGGCAAGCCATTTCTGAAAGTTTTGCCATCAAAATTTCATGGAGACACTCTCTCACTCTTTTTCTTTTTAGTTAGGGTTACGTTTTGGAGTTCTTCCTAGACCCCATCCATTTTCTATCAAAGGCCCTTGGCCAAAAATAAATAACTTACCAAGACTGAGGAAGTTAATCCATAAGTAATAGTAGAAGAGCTGTGTTAGCCTATGGTGGCAAAAAATCTGATGTTACACATTCCCTAAGAAGTAGAAACGTTTCTCAGATTCCACTGTGCTTAGATTGCACTGCACTAAGCGAGACTTCTTATGGTTATCACAGGGTTGGATCTGATCTGTTTCCCTTTGCACAACTGTAGTGATCACCACACATGCAGAATGAGTACCTACAACACTTCAAAGCTTCTTGAAGTATAGAAAGAATAGAATGGGAAGCAGTACCTTTGCAAACAACTTGGTAGTTACTACAGCAGTCCCCTCTTGATAAGCAGTCTTCTGAACAGTGGCAAGCATGATCTTCATTCCTTGTCTCTCCACAACGCTCTTTGGTACATTCCCAACCACCAGCTGGTGTCATCACAAGAACACAATTGTTAAAAAATAAAGCAGAATATTTTGAGGCAAGAGAATTACATTATAGTCACTCAGTATTGCCTGATACTTTCACTGAAGCATGTTGTAAACATTCTAAAAGGGCAGCACAGACCAGAAGAAAAGGGCAGATTTACAAAGCTTACAGGGTTTCTTGTAATATCTGCCTAATTATCATAGCATTAAAACATACCACCCTTTGCTCAGAACTATAGATAAATAATTATTTGCTGAAACAGTTTTAATATTGGTCTCATATTTTCCAAGACTCTAAAACTGCTGTTCAGTTACCAGATTGGTTCCCAACATTTGAGAAAATCCCAATGACCTTATTCAAACATTGCAGCTAGCCATAATGTGATTTAGTGCCTATGATTTATGGTTGAGCATGCTTGTGTAAACCCAGCCAACATCTCAATTCCTTATCTATGAAAAGTAATATTAAAAAGAAAGTGAGTAATACTTCCGCCTTTATTCTCCTTCATAAGAAAAGTCTGAGAACTTTGGTCCACAAGCAAGGTATTTAAACATATAGCAGAATTTGACAGATGCTTAAATATTCATGCATTCTGGCCCTGTTCACGTGCAAGGTAGTCACAAGAATGAAAACTGGTGGGCTCCATTTCAGATTAAGTAGTTTAGCACATTGTCCAAACCTCTGATTGCTGTCAGTCTTCCAAGTCAACATCATAAACTATTTAAGCTACATCTCTTTTAAGGAAAGGATGGAAGAGTATCACAAACATGTCTACGCTTGTAGAGATGACTTGACTTTTCATACAGATTTTCTCCTGTATGAAAAATGATGAGTGGAGCACTGGGCAAATGCAGGAAGATTATAAATGGATGAGGCCATCACCAGGCCTTCCACAAAATGTGTGTTAATGAGCCATGATGATTCCCCAATAAATATCTTCTCTGGAATGCTTTAGCACCAGTGTTTCATGATCATCAAATAATGTCTAGCCAGAATGACTACAGAGCACTGTTTTCACTTTCCCCAACTGCTCGTTGAAAAGGGCCAATGGTCATGCAAAAAAGGCTAAAACATTGCTTGGTAGAAGGGCCATGATAACTCTTTATTAGCATAGTTCTTTCTATGGAGCAGGGACTCAGTTGTATCCTACCTGTCTTTAAACATAGTTCATCAAAGTCAGCACAACAGCTGCTATAGTAGCTCTTGCACAGGTTGTCACAGCGGCAGCCTGGAGGCTCTGCTTCTTGGAGTTCAAAGCATCGGTTTTTGCAGGAGCCAGAAGTACTGATCCAGGGGGAATCTGATAAGACTGAGTGGAGGAGCAAGAAAGAGAGAGAGAAATACAACACTGTAAGTTAAGCCATTACTGGTTGATCAAAAGTTGTTCAAAGGAGGTTAACAGCCCAGCTGCTTCATCCAAGAAAAAAAAAAGAGGTGTATGGTAAAGAAAGCTAAGAGATAGATGAGGAAAAATTCATTAAATAAAGAGTTGATATATCCCTCCAATCACTTTTCTTATCCTGGATTAACCTACAATAAATCAAAGCTGCATATATTCTGTGCCAAAAGAACATTCCACATATTGCATGAAAAACCCACATTTTGACCAAAGTTATCCAAATTAGAGACTGTGGATCCTGGATATAAAATGAGTAGACTGTCAGAGAACTGAACTGAGCATTCTTTGGCCCAAAGAGGAGAAAAGTCAGGACAGAACGTTACAGAAAGTAGCTGCCTTAAAGGGAAGACTCCTCAGATCAAGCTAACTGAGCTATTAAAGATGATCCTAGAACGTGGGTCCTCAGTAGAGTCAAAGGGGCAAATCTGTGTTTGCATGAAGAGACACGCCTGCTCCCAAGCTGTTATTCCATTCTACTGTGACTAGACTCAAGGCTCCTTCCCAAGGATGTAGTTAAGATTTCCTAGGAAAACTGAGCACTGGCTGCCCCCTTTTAAGGATTATGTTTTTTCTTTACATATAAGGCTCAGCTTATAAGAGTCTGTCTCATTTTGTTCCAAAGGATTCGGCAAAGCAATTAAATTGGCTGCTATCCAAAAAGCAATCACTTGAAGGACAAAACACGTCCTTTTTGAAAGAGAACATCCATAGCGTTGCTTAATCTAGTAATTCTCTTCTCTTCTCCCTCCCTGTGGCAGTTTAAAAGCCTTTTTGTTTCAGGCATCCTCCTTCATGGTTCCTGCAAAAATATTAACAATTTCTTCTCTCCTTCCCTGTTGGCCTTCATCATAGGCTATTTTTTGATATAAAATAGTTGTGATAGCCTTTTTGATTTCTTCAGTTATCAGAACAATTCAGGTATCAGAGCAAACATCTGAGGCCAAAGTGTGAAGAGCTGAAATCTTTCCTGGGAATGATGGAATAAAGATTCGAGTACATTTGGTTGCTTGTAATAAAGATATTATGATGATATGGCTTGTTTTGTTTCATTTTTCCATCTGTTCTGGCTTAATCTAAGAGTTTCATGAGGATGGTGCAAGGGCTATGTTTTATAAGCATAAAGGCACAGTTTACAGACTTGGGCATTTTTAACAGCTAATCTGTTTTCCAAAGGCCATTTAACAATTCTAAAACTATTAGTTTAGTCAAAGGAAGCAATCCACTGTTTGGGGGAATATGTTAGGCTTAACACCTCATTAAAGTCTAAAACACATTCAAAAATAATTCTAAAAATTAGAAGCCACTGAACTCCTTCAATTCTCATTGGCTTTTAGTCTCTCTTGTACCATCCTATCAAAGTGCAGGATAACATTTTGTAAGATGATGACATTATGTGCTTTTTCATGGCCTCTCTCAGAGTTTCATTTACTCATTTTATTTGGCCTAGCTCACTTACAAAGCTTGCGCAACTGAGGTATTTCTGCTTGGAACTAATCCAGCCTGCAATTACAGTTATGGACATCATGACAACTGTTGGGGCACAAGCAGTTTGGACAAGTCCATATGTAATTGTTTGAAATTAAAATGCATTTAAGCAACACTATGTGTACGAGAGAGAGGAAAGAAAGAAAAGAAAGGACTGTTGTGTAAAGAAGAGCTTTCCATTTTTTAACATAAAACACAGTATTCTGTTTGCTCTGGTCTTGTATGGAATCTTATGCTTTTGTTCATGTTCAGGTTGAAAAACCAACTTCATGAAAAATAGCTTTATCCTTTAGCGTCCCAGTTGCCGTAGGGTAAATTTACCATATGACAGGAAAATTTATTGTATGATGGAAAGAATGCAATTTTCTTTTTGTTTCCTTTGGGGATTGCTTTTTAAGATTTATGCAAACAATGTTTATACAGATGCCAAATGCTGGGTCACCAGCTATGCATTACAGCTGAGCAGGGCTCAGCATAGGGAACATTTTTTCCCACCTGTTTAATTTTCCAAAAAATAAATAAAACAGGTTTGCAAGGGATCCCCTAGGACAATCTGTGACAGGATTATAACCTGAGGGCTGCCTTTTATGCCAATGGTTGTAATTCTGCTGGTACTTCCCAAGTTGTTGAGATGGTTAGCCTGTCCTGCATGGATCCATGAACTCCAGGTAGCCTATGAAATCAAAGCATCTACCTGCTGGTGGTACAATGTGAGAGTGGATTAGGGCTATGACCTTGAGGAAAATCATATGAATTTTGTTTACTATACAAGATTCAAACAATAACTGGTATTCTTGATAGGGACTTGTTTTCATATTCCAGATAGCTAGAGCAGGCAACAGCATTTCCATTAAAAATG